GTTGCTGCTGATCTGTTTCAAGTTGCTGTGTTCATACTCATCTGTTCACACAGACTCATGTTCGTGCTGCTGTTGGGCATATTGCTTTTATTGTTTTATGCTATTAGTGCTTATTATATGTTTAGTTGACATTTTTCTTAGTTCATATCTTAGATCTTATTACTGTTTTTCCTTTTACATTTTATTGTGGGATGTAACTGGGACCCCGTGTACATAATCTCGTTCCACCACATGTACCACAAACAGTAAAGAATCTCTAACTCTGATTTGTGCAAAGTGTAAATGATGAGTTAGTTAAAAAATGTTCTCCGTGTTACTCTGAGTGACCTGGTTTGGGTTGGGGATGTCAGGACAGCTGTCGCAGGCGTCTCCCACTCCATCTCCATCTCGGTCCAGCTGGTCTCTGTTCTGGACTCGTTGGCAGTTGTCCAGGAAGTTCTTCAGACCTGCCCACCAATCACACAGAGTGGACATTCAGCATACTGAAAATTTTAATATTATACCTTTCCAACTTCTTTATGACAATACACTGTTTGTTTTTAATTTGAAAGATTGACTGGAACCATTCTGTGAAGAAAATAAATTAAAATATTATTATAGTATTATTAAACCAGTAGAGCTTCAGCAGAAAACAGGGCTAGAGTTGCAGTGAAGGTAGCATCAAATGTCTAAATCTTTACTTTTGCACCATTAGGGTGCACTGTTGCATTTCCTGTGTATCTGAGACATGTTTGAGTCTAATGGTATTTTTATTCATCACAGGGAGGCAGTAGATGCACGATGAATGCACAAATTTCAAGCAGCAGCGGTAGATGAGAAGCTCTCTGTCCTGTGGGGATTTTCGAGGTGTAATCATACCACTATGTGATCAAAGTGTGTTTGCTCTGGGGTCAGGCTGATATTGGATTTTTTCTTCCTCTTTCTTCAGTGCTCTTCTGCTTCCACTTACATATAAAAAACAGTCATACTTCTACACAGTAATACATTTAAACAGCATGATTTAGACATATCTGGAACAAACCATAAACCCTCCCTGCATGATTATTTCCATAATTCATGTTGAGAACATGAAAAAGGATAACGATGAGTCCTCAGTGATAGTGATTATATAACAAGAATGTCAGGGTTGGTGATGTAATTTCTTGTAGTACCATCTCCATCCATGTCGTCATCGCAGGCGTCCCCTTTGCCATCGCTATCAGTGTCCCTTTGGTCAGGGTTCTCCACCAAGCGGCAGTTGTCACAAGCATCGCCGTGGTTGTCTCTATCACTGTTCCTCTGGTCCACGTTGGGCTTATACCGACAGTTATCCTGAGACAGACAGGTTTTAGTGTCAATATAAGATGTCAAATTCAAATATACTATTCATGAACAACCAACCTGCTCGTTTGGAATACCATCACCATCTGCATCGTCATCACAGGCGTCTCCCATACCGTCCCTGTCTGCGTCCTCTTGACCAGAGTTTGGAACAAACATGCAGTTATCCTGCAGAGACACAGCTAAATGAAGGTCCTCCTGTTTCAGCAAAACACTATTTTATGATACCTCTCCTTACCTTTTTACAACTTGGGTCCTTGCATTTGAGTTTCTCATCTGGATACCCATCAATGTCAGTGTCCTTCCCGCACAGGTATCCGTTGCCGGCCCAGCCAATTCCACACTTTGGAAGCAAATGAAACACCTCACAGAAAGTGCTCACAGACCCTCACCATAGGTGTGAATTTTCTGTATAGACTATAAGAATGTGCGATTGGGCTAAAATCCCACCTGACAAGAGATGGAGCCATCTCTTTCTCGAAAACATTGGGCGTTGGTGTCACAGGGGTTGGTCAGGCTGTTTCCACAGCTGAGCTCCGGCTCGCAGCCCTTCACCTGGTCCCCTGTGAAACCTGTCTTACAGCTGCCGCAGTAAAAGGAGCCCTGTGGGGGAAATGGGACAGCTGTATTTGGATTCCTTTTAAAAGCAGCTCGACTGAAGTGAAACGTCCAGCTTGAGACATGTACACTGGTTGGACTGCAGTCTTACCATAGAGTTGTGGCAGATTGAGTTCGGAGTACAGCCTCCATTGTCGGGTCCTTTGCATTCATCAACGTCATCACAAACCTGAAATGAATAAATTAAAATAAATGCACCATAATGCTTTGTGACTCAATATAACTTAAAACAAATAAATAAAAAAAAACAGTTGCAGCAAACAACATTCACACATCGTAATTTAGTAGCATTTATATAATTTATACAGTAGCTATAAATATTTAATTACTGATGATTATATTATTAAATAACACTGCATGATTTGATTAAAAACATGGTGAATTGTGATAGCTTTAATTTTTCAACTTTGGGCTGAGCTATGCTTTCTGGTTTAACTATGACTTTTTTTTTCCAAATGAAAAAAATATTCTAACTACATTGTTAAAATGGTGGATAGGTAATTAAATTATGCATTGTTGTAATCTGTGCACCAATGTTAAATAACATTTTTTTATTAAACGACTCTTTGATAATACATGTATGTTTTCTATTCATTTAATATTAGTAATGAGTCATAAATATTGAATTTAAAGAATCAGCATGTAGCAAAAAATAACATCAAATGGAAAAAATGCAGCTTGTAATCAACTAAATGTGTTTTAGTTTAAATTGATTGCACATTATAAACTAATCCGATAACATTTCCACACATGTTATGAGTTCACACTCTGTGTCGGAGTTATAATAAAACATATTTGATAAAAAATGAGATTTTTCTTATGTTGCAACCACACAGAGAGCAAACTTTTTATTTAATATATCACAACATTGTCAGTTTATCCTTTACTCTTTATCTCTTAAATGTACGTGTAAGGCCACAGTGTTATTACAACCTCTAAGGTTTTAAGCAGTAAATTCTTATCAGTTTAGCCTTGAAACAAAATGTAGTTGTCAGGATTCATCTAGTTTTATTCATCAATTTAACCCTGGTACAAAATTCCTCAAACTGTAAGAGCTTACATCTACTGGGACCATTCATGAAAACACATAAAAATTTAAAATATGTCTGTAATTCAGGTTTTACAGAGTACTGATGGAATAAAAAACTCGTAGGATTAAAATATTAGCCCAAACTAATGAAAATAAGGATGCGGCCTCCAAGTCTGAAAAGAAGAGCCAGTCCAGCTTCACCCAACCTGGATCCTTCTTGATGAACATCAGGGGGAGGCACATCTTTCTACTTTGTACTTTGAGCTTGAATTTTTAATTATTAGTTGTTTTAAGTGACACTTCTGATGTTGAGAAAAAAAAAATGTTTTCAGGCTATAACATTTCCTTATTTTTTCTTAATCTCATGTCCAGTAATAATTAAAGATTGTCTAAACAACATTAAAATTTTTTGAAAACAGGGTTTTTAGTAAAACTTCAATGTTTTTTCTCTCTTTACAATATTTGTCTTATACTGATGCTACATAAATTCAATTAATGAACACCAACGTTAAGAATAAACCTAATTGTAAGTAAAGTTGTACAGAATGTCCTATTTTATCTGGTTCTAAGTGTAACATTTGTTGTTAAATTGGATATATTTGTTTGTGTTTATTTATTTTACCTGTTTGTTAGTCTGAGCGAACACAATGCCTACGCCCTCGACTGGCAGGCCGACGTAGCCCAGTGGACAGGCGTCACAGCGGAAGCCTGGTGCGGTGTTCACACACTTCACTCCGGGGAAGCAGGGGTTAAACTGGCACTGTAAGAAAAGGAGGACACAATCTGTGCTGAAGCAGCAGAAATAAATGTGTTTCTCTCAGGGCTTTTCCCAAAAGCCTTTTGGGCTGATGACATTTTTTGCTCCTGTAAGAAAGAAGTTGCTGAAGGAGCTCTAACCCTCAGGGAAGAGGTGAGCACAAACAGGAAAACACAGCCAGTTTTAATGGTTTCTGTATTTTAAGACCTTACCCCTTTTAAACATTTTACCTACATTCCAAGTCTTTTTTTGGTCTTTTTGCCAGATGTATTTTGTAACGTTCTAAAAGAATAAAAAATAATATATACATTTTCTCATAATTTCAGAGGTCCAGGAAATCATTTGGTCTGAAGTCAAACTTTTCAGCAACATAATTTAAAGGACACACCTCTTTCACGCAGCTCATTGCTATTTTGTAACATATATTGTTATACCAAATAAATGCATAAAAAATTTCCAACACCACATTTTTTCCACACTTTGATGTGTGGACAACCCTTGAAGTGGATTAATGATGCTTAACTAACTCATTTTTGTCATCTCAATCCAAAACCAAAACAGGAACTGAATGGGGCAGTACTTGAAGATAATATGAGCCAGCTTGATGTATTTAAACCTCACTCTGGTAAGTACAAATGTGGATGAACCAGGATACCAATTAAATGTTCTTAATTATGCAGATCAAAGTTAAGTAATTCTCACAATGAAACAACGTCTTGTTCTCTGGTACCTCATCTACGTCATCACAGTTGAAACCATCTCCTGTGTATCCGTCTGGACAGGATGCACACTCAACACCAGTCGCTGTCTCAACACACATATCGTCACGGAAACAGACACCTGGGGTACATCTTGGTTTCACCACCTCACTACCACCAAGACCTTTAAACAGAAAACAAATATATTTTTAACTAGAGAAATGGCATTTTCTGTGAAAATGGAGGGTGGATACTGAGTGCTGAGTGACATAAACTGAGTTTGTAAAAGAAGTAGAGCACAAGTTAAAAGCATAATAAGAGCAAAAGACTGGCTAAAAGCTAAATGTAGCAAAATGTTAGCTTAAAGGGTAAAAAGCTGGGTAAAAGGCTAAAAGAAGCAAACCAACAGATAAGAGCTAAAATACCGTATTTTCCGGTAAATAAGTCGCATCAGTCAAAAAAGCATCATGAAGATGAAAAAAAAAACATATATAAGTCACTTCAGCGTATAAATCGCATTTATTATGCATCATCGCTGACGCGTTGCGTTTATTATGAGTTCATTAAATGGTTAAGCTTCATTTCGCCTGGGCAGTGCGGCACCATCCGTCCATTCATTGCAGCTGCTAGCTCTCCAGCGTTCCTCCGCCTGCACCAGCTGAATGAAGCGAGCGCACACAAGAGGACTCGCTGTTGCAGTTCTCAGACATTTAAAGCATCAGTCAAAAATTGTGTTATGAATATGGAAAAAACAAACAAATATATATAAGTCGCAGGACTGACAAATCTATGCTAAAAACAGTGACTTATATGCCGGAAAATACGGTATGTAAAACCTAACAGTTGCATAATAATAGCTCAAAGCCAAAACACTAGTAGTAGCTAAAATGTAGCTATAAGTTAGAAGCAACATAAAAAAAAAATTAAAAATAGAGCAACTAAGCTAAAGCAGATTTCAGAAACAACATTGTTTTGAAAGAGCTGAAGAGATATCAGGGTAATTTTATGCAAAAATATTTCCAACTTAAGTTCAATATTTTAAAATGTATAAAATAAATAAATAAAAATCGTATTACCCATCTCCAGAATGAATGCAACATTTTGATATACAGTATGAATGATTGAATTGGCACACACTATGAAGAAGTAGTTTGATTGCTAAAAATACATATGTAAAAAACCCAACAGCATTTACACATTAATCTTTATGAACATCATTAAATATATTCACTATTGAGGGACTGACTGAGCTTTATGTTCTTACCACAGGCCTGACACTCAGAGATGGTGTTTCTAAGGAAAGAGGTTTCCTTAACCTGAAGGAGGAAGAAATAAAAAATAATAAAAAAAACATTGTGATGTTTTTTTGCAGTTGTGTTGGCAGGGAGGTCAGCGTAGAAGATGCATGGCTTAAGTAGTCTCAGAGGAACTGTTTGAGGTGGTTACCTGCTGAATGAGCACCTCCTTCAGTTCATTTATCACCTTTGTTAACTCCTGCATTTGATTAGATAGCTGCTTTGTGTTGACCCCTAGGAGAAAGAAACTGTTAATTTGGTTGAACAAAATCAGAGGCTGGTAGATTCTCAGTGGGTGTCTCATCAGCTCTATTGCATGCTACTATTTTATGGCTCAAAGTGTTACCCTGGGAAACATTTAGCTGTCTCTATGGGCATTTGTTTCCACTCAAAGAATCTTACCCAGAGTTTGGACTGAGTCTCTTTGCTGGAAATGACAGTCTTGTAATGATGCAACGTTCTCAAACGAGTCCCCGACCACCAGTTTTAGCTCGTCTAAACTCTCCTGTTAGCACAGAACAAAAGTGGACACTTTTCTAAATTTGCAGAGGCATGACTGAGACAGGAGCCATTATTCTATAATCATTGTGACAGTTCACCTGCTCCCTGGCTTGCATCGTCTTTAGCTCCACCATACCATACCCTGCAGGCAAACCTCGGAAGGCAGCCGGAAGATCCCTGACCGTCTCGACCAGCCTGCAGTCCAGATGCAGCTCCACCCCGCCTGGCCCCTGCTGCTGCAGCCCCTTCAGGTGGAACAACAGTCGGTGTTGCTGGCCATCTGCCAGCACCAGGTTGTTGAAAGTAATGGAGCTTGTTCTCTTGTCGCTCCGCAGGTAACGTAACACAGCTTCGAGAGGACAAGGCAGTGCAGAAAACAAAATTTACTCTAGGTTTGTTTTAAAGTAGGTAATACAACAGTTAGATGAAAACATGTAATTTTGAATTCATATGCACAGTTATTCATAAAGGTTTTGAAGAAAGAATGTCTGGTGTAGAAAGCTGTTTGAAATACCATTGCACAGAAAAATAGTTTATTTCTAATATAACACAAGCTAGTAGCTAGTCTGAGCATTTGCCCATTTAATGGTGTATTGCAAGACAAATCTTCTTCTTCTTCTTTCGGCTTTTCCTTCTTCAGAGGTCTCCACAGTGAGTCATCCTCCTCCATCTCACTCTGTTCTCTCCATCCTCTGTCCTCAATCTAACTACATCCATATATCTCCTCTTTGTATTTTTCCTGGCAGCTGCATTTCTAACATCCTTCTACCAACATACCCACGGTCCCTCTTCTGGACATGGCCAGACCATCTCAGTCTGGCCTCTCTTACTTTATCTCCCAGTTGTTCAACCTGTGCTGTACCTCTGATGATCTCATTCCTAATCTTATCCATCCTTGTCAGTCCTAAGGAGAACCTCAACATCTTAATTTCTGCCACTTCCAGTTCTTTCTCTTGTCTTTTTGTCAGTGCCACTGTCTCTGGACCATACAACACAGCTGGTCTCACAAATGTCTTGTAAACTTTTCATTTGACCTTTGCTGACACCCTTTAGTCACAAATCACGCGTGAAACTTTTTTCCACCCACTCCATCCTGCCTGGACTCTCTTTTTCACCTCTTTACCACACTCCCCATTTCCCTGGACAGTGGACCCCATGTACTTGAAGTCCTGCACCTTTGTGACCTCTGCTCCTTGTAGCCTCATTGTTCCACCGACCTCCCTCTCATTCACACACATGTACTCTGTCTTACTTTGGCTGACTTTCATTCCTCTTCTTTCAAGTGCATACCTCCACCTCTCCAAGTTCTCTTCCATCTGTGCCCTGTTCTCACAACAGATCACAATGTCATCTGCAAACACCATAGTCCACAGGGATTCCTGCCTGACCTTATCTGTTAGTCGGTCCATCACCAGAGCAAACAAGAAGGGGGCTCAGAGCTGATCCTTGATGCACTCCCCCCTTCACTTTAAAGTTGTCTGTCACTCCTACAGCACATCTCACCACTGTCCTGCTGTCCTCATACATGTCCTGTACCAGTCTAACATACGTTTCTGCCACTCCAGACATGCAATACCACACCTCCTCCCTCAGCACCCTGTCATATGCTTTGCACCCTGTTGTATGCTTTTTGTGCGCATTACAAGAGAAGTAAAGGTTCAGAACAACATTTGCTTAAACCACTATATGTTTGAGATTCCAGTTCTTTTAGATGACAGCATTCTACTTTGGTACTGGCTTTGCTAGCTGTTCATTCATCAGTCCATTCAAAATTAAATATATTTTTCCAAACTAAGGTGGTTCACAAAGCGGTTTATGACAGGTAAAATATTATTGTTTGCAATCTTTCTGCAGACTGCTTCAAAACATCTGGATTATTCCTTTAATATCACACTGAATAGTCAACTGATGAAGTCTTTTTCATATTTTTGTACCTCGGTTGAGCTTCCCCATCACTGTGAACTCAAAGTATTTGCTGTTGTCCCTGGGGTTGTACAGAGTAAACACAGTGGTTCCAGTTTTGGGTTGCAGCTTGAAGGAGGTTAGGATGAAAGCCTCAGTCACCCCCTGTTCGGCCAGACCGCCCTGCAGCAGGTCTGGCAAGCAATCGGGCGATGTGAGCAGATCATAAACTGTTGACAGGGATACAGAGAAGAGAAACGGTTAATCACATGAGCAATAGATGATAACATATAAACATTTACGACCTAAAGCCACACTCGGCTGTTGTCGGGGTAAACACATTCTGAGTCGACAAGGAAATAATGATGTCGTCCAAGTGTTTGTTGCTCTTGCAAGCTGCTGCAAAAACTTGGCAGTCTCAAAGGAACCACAAAGAGGCAGCTTTTTGCAACAAATCAAAGCTAATGGCGTGGCAATTTACGTTTTCATATTTATTTACTTTTTTATTTGATCCCTGTTTAAAATGGCTGATGGGTTTTTATTCACAGGCAGAAGCTTGACAAAATCCAGAGCATCTGCTGACTGGACACGGAAGAAGAGAGAAAACACTTATCGTTTGAATTTCTCTTTAATAAAGTGACTTGGGAGCTGAGCAGACCACAGGATATGTCCACTGTCTGCACACATCACAAATACACAAGAACCATAAAGCAGTCAGCAAGGCCCTTGGTTCTAAGGAAGCAAAATTACTCCCAAATGGTCGCAGAGACTGGCCGTCGTTAGCCAAGAATACACCACCCCCATCCTGCCTTTCTTTCTTTCTTTCTTTTTTTTTTTTTTCTCCTCCTTTCATGGCTTTACAGTGCATGTTTTGTCAGATAAATCACAATGAAGTGGGACCGAGTCACCAAAAGTTTGTATTTATACCATGATTAAAACACTTACATATGATTTTTTTTGTATTTGAAAATATAAAATGTTTAGGCTAACCGAACAAAATGAACACAATCCACCATGAGTTCTCGTGGCTCAATGAGACTACCTGTATAAATAAAGTGTAAATGAAAAAAATGAAATGAAATGTATGTTTCATATCTTTAGTGTTATTGTACCCGTTAAACCTCCTCACAAAGACAGCAAACAGTTCTGTTGTTCAAAAGTCTTCTGGACAGAGCGCTCCGAGTGGTCAATGATGTCTTCCACAAAACACCCTGAGAAAGTGCTTCCCATCACCCCGTGATTAACCTCAAATTTCAAGCTTCATAAAACTACTCCAGCTCGAAGCCATTAAGTTAAATCCAGAGTCTTGTCCCTCTCTTCAAGCCGGCACATACATCTGCTATGGTTAGTTTACTTTTAAGTAAGCAAATGGTGAAACATTCTTCATTTCTCTGCTTAACAAATGCTCCACAATGGAGTTTTCCTGTGAAGAAAGTTGAGATTTGTCATTAAACGTTTAAAAATATCATGTCAAAGTCTCACAGTGATGACAGAAATATATCACCAGCTCTGGGATGTGATTAACATAAAGAGTGAAGTCTCATTAATGTCAAAGCTAATGGACGTCCAATATATTTTATTCAAGATACTTTATGATCCAAGACACTCTACATCTGCTTCTTGTCGGGTGATTGCACTGACATGTTTTTTTTTTTTTTCTCTTTAACCTCATAAGTTGTTAACTTTCTAAATTATCTGTTTCTTTTAGCATTCCAATATAATATTCAGAAGTGAACTGTATTTTTGCAGATACACAAGAATAGTACTGTTCAAGAAATCTATGCAAAAAAGAGGGATTATATTTTATCTCAAGGAAGTGAGTTGTTAAAAGCCTGAGTGGACATCACCATTGTTGAATGGTCTTTTGTAATCCAGCAAGGATGTTTTTCTAAGCTTCATTAAGTGATTTAGATGCTTAAATTAATCAAAATGATCTTTAAGTGACTAAACCTAAATAATAGTAATTAAACCTGAAAGCAAAAAGTGAATGAAAATGAATGTCTGCCAGTCTGGTCTTTTTTATATAGTCTTGAGTTTCTGAACATCCACTCAGAATTCCTAACACGGACTTTATGGCTGTCTGTACTTTTTCTTTTTTTTGTGTGCGTGTTAATGAGACCAAAACAACAAACAACAAATCTATATAATTAGTAGTTTATTGATTCCTGACATTACTGTATTGATCTTTTTTCTTTTTTTTTTTTACAAACTTATAGTGTGAAGTTATTGTATAAAATGTTTTTTTTTAATGTAAATGTTTGTCAAATCCAAGTATTCCCACTCTCATCTTGCAGCTGTTTCAAAGGAGTGGTTCAGTAGGATAACATGAAGTAGGTATGAGTAACTAATATCTTACCTGCAGCAGACAGAGTTCAAATAATCTACAACAACAACAAGATAGAGTTGCGATTTCTGACCCGAAATTCATCGGGTCAGGTCAAAAGTATGTGCTTGATGGGCAGGTCAAGTTAGTCTCTGACTTTTGATGTGGTTTTATGAATCATACATCACAAAAAATATAAGAATGCACAATATAAAATGTGTTAATCTACTTGTAGAGGATGAGGCAGTTTTATATGTTCAGGATGAGAAAGAAATAAAATAGAGTGCAGAAGTTAATCAGACTGTGAAAAGATAGAGTAGTGCTGGCGCATTGCACAACATTTGCGCCTGTGGCCCCGCCCACCCTGCTTTGCTCTTATCACACATCTTAGGATTTGCAATTGATCCACAACAAGCAACATAATGGAGCTGGAAAGTATTAAACAAAAGCTAAAAATGGGAGAGCTCACTCTGCAAAGCCAGCACAGTGAAACCTGCTGATATGTGCCAGGTGCATGCTCGGGTCCAACCGGCCGGTTGAAAGAGGTAAAAAAAGGTCCTGATAAGCTTCATATGGATAACCGGATCATCAGCCGCGTGCGTCCACTGACCGGCCGGCTGAAAGAGGTAAAAAAAAAAACCTGAAGCTTCAGATGGACAACCGGATCATCAGCCGCGTGCGTCCGCAGACTGTTAATGACTATAATTACTATAAAAATCCACTGACTCTTGTTCATAAACAAGAAATTTTATATCTTCTTTTCTTTGAAATACATTTTTAAAACTTTTATGTCAAAATGATTTACTTACAAATTGGGTTGGGCTCGAACAAAATGCCTATGGGCTTGGACCGGGTTGGAATTTTTAGGCCTGAATGCAACTCTACAACATGATGAAATTAGCATGAGGAGTCAAGTTAACGTCACTCCAAAACGGATATAAGATAGCTCAAATCAGCTTCTGTCTATGATTATTTTCATTTAAAATTGTTCATTGCAACACTTTCTATGTGGAACACAAGTTGCAATATGGAAGTGCAACTAAATGCAATACTAAAGCTCAAATAATATCTCAACTATGGCCCCAACTCTTAAATGAGTTGAAAAGGATGTTATGTGGACGCATTCTCATCTACCTGCCAGCTGTGCTCGAGTGCCTGACCACTGAGATCCTGGAACTAGCAGGAAACACGGCTCACGACAGCAGAAGGACAGGATCGTCCCTCAGCACCTACAATTGGCTGTCCGCAGCTATGGAGCTCGGCAGACTGCTGGGAGGAGTGGCCATCGCTCTGGGAGGAGTTCTGCCCGGCATTCAGGCGGTCCTACAGTTCAGGGGAACCGAGAGGTCAGCTGAGTCTGGGTGGACGGATCAGATGGCATCTGCAACCAGTTTCTTAGGATCCACTGTGGGATGGATCTTTACAAGAGATCCTTCCTGTCTACAGCCATCAGTATCTATAACATCTCTTAATGAAATGAGGATAACGAGTTACAACAACAAAATAATTTCCCTTTGGGATTAATAAAGTATTTTTGAATTGAATTGAATGCGTCAACCATTAAGCATTAATTTATTTTTAATACACCATTTGCTTAACCATCTTTAAGTTTTTTCAGGTTTGACTGGTGTTAGGTGATGGAGATGTACTCAAATGAACTCTGCTCTCAGTAGCTTTCAGCTTGACTCCATAAGACTTTATAATTCTTCAGACTGAGATCATTCCAACGGCTGTCTGCTGCAGGTAAGATATTAGCTACTCATAAACACTCCACAGAAACCGATTTTTAAAAGAATCTGAACTATATATTTTTAAGTTAGTCAGAAGATGTTAGCATTATAATGAATGTTCTTTGTTTCTTTTACTTGTGTGGTGATGATCTGTTTATTGCATCAAACTGAACCCTCTCTTAGATTATTGGTAGACTTGACGCTGTCAAAAACAGTTTGGTTCAGCTTCACAAAAAGCCCAGTTAGGCCGAGGAATACACGATTCAGGTTACACCCTTATAAAATGTTAACAAGTTAGCCTTCTGCAACAAGATTCTTCACCAGTGACTCATCCTTAAGCAGTAATATTTCCAAGAAAATAACAAAGCTAAAAAAAGTTACTATTCTTTTGTGGCCTCTATTAAAAATGTTGATGAAAATCTACAAAAATTCAACAGTTCTGCACATGAAAAAGTAATACCAAGCTGTGACTAAACCCTCCTCATGAGCTGCAAGCGAGAACAGCCGACGATGGGGGGATGGGCAGCTAAACCATGAACTCAAAATCTCCAGACACAGAAGGTAATTAATTCCCTGCAAATACAAACCCTCTCATTTATTTACAAATTAGTTTCGAGATCTGTTTGGCACTGCAATATTACTAAACAGAAATAATTTCGGACGACGTTTTGGCACTCAGAGATTTTCTGTGTTTAAAACTAAAGAAACGAGTTCCAATTTTTAATGTGTGAAGTCATCCTTGGGATGTTAAAACTGACTGATGTTTTCAATATCTCCTACAAATGATTACGTCTCAGCTTTGTGCCTCTGAATTCAAATTGAAGCAATGCTTTAAGTTGGTTCCATTTTTTTTTATGCAATAAACTCCAGTTATTTAATCAGTCATGGGTAATAATAGACGAATAATCTGATTTTATCCAATGACTCGGGCACCATAAGGATTGAAATGATTGAAGTTTGCTTAAATTCCTGGATAAAAACTACAAACACCAACATGTATGCACATTTTCAGCTGTTTGGTCAAATGTGTGTGACTGTGATTGTGTATCGGAGGCAGAACGAATAGAGTGTGAAGTTCAGTGTTATCATCTCTAATTATTCCCATGTGTGTGATCAAGCTGGGAATTAGTTTAAACAAATGTGTGCCAGAGAGCTAAACCTCCTGAAAGCTGATCTGATGAAGCAGATATGGCTGGTTGGATTTCTAAACATCTGCAGAAGCACACACACACACACACAATGTTCAACTCATCTCGACGACTGACAGGAATGTTGAGCACTTTCATCACACCTCAGCGAGTGTCGTTCACCGTGTCTAATCCTTTGGGTTTGAAAATGATATCTGCGTTCACAGTGTCTGCTTACGCCCTAAACCCACGTGTTCAAACACAAAGTGGTGGTGCAATCAAATCTGCTTTGACTGATTTAACAAAAAGACAGAAGCAGAATTACATTATGTCGAGGATTAAAAAAATACAGTAAAAAGTATTATTTTTTTGTGCTGAAATATTAGTTGCACCAAGAAAGGCTCAAAACTCTTTCACAGTCACCAGCAAGCGCAGTTGCTGAAATTGAAAATGCAACATGATAATAATAAAAAAAACAGGTTTAAAGTAAATTAAATCAGTTGGAATAATACTTACTCAAAGCCTGGGCCTCCACGTGCATACAGAGTTTTAACAGCAGCTGTGAGGCCAGAATAAAAGCTGTCCACCCAACCATCTTGTCCCTCCAACTGGTCTCAGCTCTGGAGTTTCTGTGTAGAGATGCCCGCAAGTGTTGCAATATATAAATATCTATATATGTATTTTAATTAATAGTAAAGAACGACTCATATCAAGCCTGTTAAAACCTGATGAATGTTTTTGTGTGTCTCTGGATTGTGAATGGGGGAAAAGGGATTTGCAGGAGTGCTACTGAGGGAGGAGCATCAGGGTAAAACCTGCTTTTAAAACTTTCCTAAGACGGCCCCATGTAGTGAAGGAGTGACCTGGGAAAACAACACGTTAGCTTCTACTTGCAGCTCCAAATTCCCAAAGGAAATGTCATTTTCACTGTTCGTCACCAGCTTTCACATGTGAAAATGGGTTTTACACGTTTGACTTCCAGACTGCGTTGAAAGCAGGGAATTCTTTCACCTTGCGCCCAGCGATCAGATGTGACACCTTTCACGTGCTACAGTTTTCCCCTTTCCATTCCTGGGCAGTTGAAGGAATAGGGGCTCCAGATCCTTTGCAAGTTGGGTTAACCTGACTGAAACGACCGCCAGGCAGTCACCAAGTTTGGCTCCACACACTTAACCGCATTTTTGGGGAGAGTTGAGTTGATTCAAGTCTTTAAAAGAGTTTGCTTTTTTTAATTATTTTCATGAAAATAGCATTTAATAAATCTGGTAGGAGATCAAAACCAGCGCTTAATTTGAGCTGGATCCCGGGAACTCTTATTTTGACAGGGTGCATTTCGATAACTGTTTGCTTGGATCCGGTAACTCTCAGGCTTACTAATAATAAAGATATGAACAAATAAAACTTATATTGGATATGTAAACTGAAAATAATTACATAAACACTAATTTTAAACATAACAGCCACTTGCGACTGCTTAATATCACATACGATCTGCCCCTTCAAGTAGCATTTTTGCAGCTACAATTAAAAAAATCTCTGCCCCTAAAAGAGTGGTGGGGGTGAGTGCCGAGCTAACCAGGCAGTCATACGCAGACAGGAGCTTACATGCAGCAGCCATGAACAGACGGAGGAGGCGTCTGGAGGCATGTGGAGTCAGACAGTGAACTCAGCGGAGAAGAATTGGCTCGGAAGGTTATGCTTGACAGAAGCGGAGTGTTTACAAATGTAGCTAAACGTAGTAGTCTCATGTGTTAGTCTTTGTTTTCACAAACGACTAACACGTATAACTATGACAACAAACAGCAGCTATTCACAGTTTCCATAAATCAAGGGATTTTTTAATATAATCAATTTCATTTTTACATTTTGTGTCTTAATGGGGGCCGAGATGGTGTAGAGGCAGGGCAGCCGGCTTGGGACCCGAAAGTCCCAGGTTCGATCCCCAGTCACTGCACATCACGTGGCGTCTCTGGGCAGCACGCCTCATCCCCAAAATGTCCCCCGGGCGCTTTCAATAGCTGCCCACTGCACCACCTGGTGGTGGATGGGTTAAATGCAGAGACTAATTTCGCCATTGTATGGAAACATACAGTGCTGACATTGTGATGACATTATTATTATTATTATTATTATTAATGTGTATTTCATCTAGGATGCTCAGAAACTCTGATACTTCCTGAGTTTCAAAGCTTTGCTTTGCTCGGTTTTCAAAATGATCCTTTAATGGAAGAGTAGTTCTGGAGAACAGAGCCCCCCACGCCCAATCCTACCCCCCACTCACCCGCCTTCAGCCAGGGGCTCAACAAACCACATCAGTTGTTTCGACTCAGCTCACATCACGATACGGTCGATGAGGTCAGACAGTGAACACGACATCTGGCTAAGAGATAAAACCAAACCCCAAATGTGTCTGACACCATCCACCGACTATTTTTATTCCCATTGCCGATTTGACTGAACCCTGAGACTCTCTCACATGATGTCAGCGTCTCATAAATGTTGTAAAAGTCACAAACAATTCCAGCACATTTGTAACCCAATGACACTAAACTGAACTGTGTTACTATAAGTGAAGCATGGCCAACATAATGATTTTTATGCACTTCATATAAAGCCTACGTTGTGCAACATTACAAAAATAAATAATGATTTAATGTGGAGCTAGGTGTCACTGACAAAGATTACTACAAAACCTATATTTGTAGTATTTTGTACTTTTTTCTTAGTGCTGCAGAACCTATTACAAATGGAGGAAACCCAGACAGTGCATGTTGCACACAACAATGGACTGCTGAGGGGGAGGAAGATCAATGTGTAAATAGCATGCTGCTGATGAAGAAACTGAAGACAGGTGACACTAATGCTGACTGGGAACCAGTGAATGTGGGTGGGGCAGAAGCTGAAGAACGCAAACTGAGGAAAATGTGACACTGGCACAGGAAAAACACAAAGAAACCAAACTAAACACAAAGACCACAAAACACAGAAAAACATACATCCGTTATCTTTACCTGCTTCTTCTTTTTCAGGTCTCATGGGGTCACTGGTTCCCATAACCAGCAGTCACTGTACAAGAGGTGGGGGACACCCTGGACAGGTCTCCAGCCCATCACAGGGACACATAGAGACAAACACCCATTCACTCTCTCACTCACACCTAGGGACAATTTAGAGTTACCAATCAGCCTAACATGCATGTTTTTGATCTGTGGGAGGAAACTGGAGTACCTGGAGAAAACCCACCCATGCACGGAAAGAACATGCAAACTCCACCTAGAAATGCCTCCGGCCGGGATTTGATCCGACGACTTTCTCGCTGAGAGGCGGCAGCTCTACCAGCTGTGCCACAGTGCAGCCAATAACCTTAACACTATACACCAAAAACTACTCCCCCCCAAAAAAAACAAGCAAACAACACATTGTCACTGACCTTCTTTACTACATTGTGTTTATTCTAATAAAACTCAGCCACATAAGAAATTGTTCTTTTCTTCTCTTGCCATTTATCTTTACTCAGTTAAAGTCCGTTAACCTCACGGTGCATCAGCGTTTCTTACAATTTTATGGGTCTTGCTAACATTTTGGTGTCTGATAGATCAAAGTTCAAACTGGATTACTTTAAGATGTATGAGCAAGTACTTACTCATTGATATACAACTCCCATAGTTCAAGTAGGCATGTTGCTGTTTATCGCTCACATCTTATAAATGTACTCGGTGTCACTTGAGAGAAGATTGAAACGTGAATCTTTGACAGGTGTGTCTCAGGCCTAATGAGATTTCAAATTGTATTTGGTGTTGCTCACAATGCAACAATGTCTCTCCCACACATACACTAGAAGAGTCAACTACACTGCAACACTCAGAAAAATCAGGACACAATAAACTGTCATTTAATAAGTTTCTTAAAAAAAACAAACATCTAGAATGCTGTTCAAAATACACACCAGTGACTCACTTTACCTCAGCAGATAATTTGGTGTTTTCTGATACAAAAATCCATTCTGACAAACAATAATATGACTGTTTCTGAGAAACAGATTTAGCTGCAGTGTGAACAGATTTAAAGATGACATCATGCAGCACTCCTGTAAATTAAAAAAACTTGAATCCTTGATTGTCATTATGTTTTGCTACAAACACTGGAGTTCATCTTTTTGATAATTGCCTGGCAGCTTGTGCTTTCTAAATGTAACTTTGCCTTTTTTTAAAATTTTAATGTTTGTATAAAGACCTTTTAATTGGAATTAATAAAAACAATTATGTTTAAAATTTGTCCGCACATTTTTTTTTTGGTGATCATTTGAAATTAACCAATAGTCTTGGTTCCTCAATGACGTTTGAACAGAGCCTTTCTTTATGGTGCCCCTAAGGTGTAAATTAACAACATTTGAACAAACGGAATTACATTAAGCCAAACTGGAAGCTTTTTAAAATTTTGTACTTTATTAACTTTATTATTATTATCATTTATTAGTATTATTTAATAACTTTATTTTTTAAATGTAATTCCATTTTTTCTAATGTAATCCCGTTTTTTCTAAAGTGATTCAGGCCACTTTCGCTTTGGCTTAATGTAATTCAGTTTTTCAAATTTTGTTGTGGTTTTGTTGTTTTTGTTGCATTTTTTCAAATGTAATTGCATTTGTTCAAATGTTGTTCATTTACACCTTAGGGCCACCGTATTACGGTTTCTTAGACAAAAACAGATAAAAACCAAAGCCAAAACTAACATTTTTCACATCATGAATATGATGAGTTTGAAAAACTTTTTTTTTAAATTTTATACACCAAAAAGGACCTAACCAGGTGAATATATTCAAGCAGAATGAGTACAACATTGTTGGTACCACTTTATAATAAGGCTCCCCTTATAGATGACTAATAAATAGTTTATAGATACGTTATTAATTCTTCTATAAACACTTTATAAATGATTAATAACTGCTTATTATGCATTGATTAAGGGTGACAGAGAGACAAAACTGACCAGTTTCATGCTAAATAGGGAACCAAATCTGTTCACCTATATATTTCATCTAGAGTTGTTCTATTAAACATTTCAGACTAAGTTATTACCTTGTAAGCACAATAAGCAATTGTAAACCTATTTTTTTAGCAAATAATATTGTACTTTACCACCGCATTATAAGTATCTACAACTAATATTATATCCCAAAAAAACTTTAGTTTACATATACTTATTGCGTTACAAGGTCTGAAATGTTTAATGTAACAACTCCAGATGAAATATATAGGTGAACAGTGTTGGCTCACTATTTGGCAAGAAACTGCTCAGTTTTGTCTCTCTGTCACCCTTAACTAATACCTAATAAACAATTATTAATGATTTAGAGGAATAATAACATATCTATAAACTATTTATTAGCCATCTATAAGAGGAGCCTTATTGTAAAGTGGGACCAACTTTTTTTAATACACCGCAGTAAGAGTGCAAAAAAAAATTAAAGCGGCCTAATTATTCACCAGTCCTGATGCGTCCGACAAATTTGGTGATTTTTGGGATATGCTAAGGCCCCCAAAACACCAATTCATTTGGCGGAAAAAATTGCAGCTCGGGCCTGAACAGAGCGATCACAA